GTAGGGAAGGGAAGGAGCCAGGGAAGGAACACAGGAACCCGGGGGATGCGGGAAGGGCTGGTTCTGAGGGCTCCCTGCAGTGCTGTACAGGGTCTAGGGAGGGAGGAGATAAAGGAGATGCAGAGAACTGAGGCTGGATGGACAGGGTGCAGGGGCCTGGCCGAAGCACCACGCTCACCGGCATTGAGGACGCCACCTTCTGCTGCTGCTGCTGGTCGATCTTGAATAGCTGCACTTTGGCTCTCTTGAGGAGGCTGAACATTTTCTCCTCTACCCCAGACAGCGGTAAGGAACCCAGGCCTGCAATCCGAGCTTTTTCCTGTGGTGGCATCTGCTGTGGTGCCGGTGGTGGCTGCAGCTGTAATTGTGGCTGTAGCTGTGGCTGCTGTGGTGGCAGTGCCTGGGGCAGCATCTGGGTTTGCAAGGCTTGCAGGGGCTGCTGTAGCTGAGCCTGAGGCTGCTGCCCACTGCTCAGAGCTGGAGCCCCATGAGGGGGCACCTCGGCCTTAACAGAAGTGGCGACCACAGGGGCAAACCGAGGCAGGCTGAGGTGGTTGGTGCGGCCCACTGCCCGAGGCTCAGGCTCAGCTGGAGAGTCATCGGCGGGAGGAGGCTCTGGCTCGGGGGCTTCAGGAGCCCCAAGAGGAGGAGTAGTAAGCACCGATTCGTAGATCTTCAGGTGGGCTTCGCTTGGGGTAAACTGAGGGGCCCGAAGGAGTAGGGGTCTCCGGGAGGCAGTGGCAGGGGCAGGGGGTGGGGAGGGGACAGGTGGAGGGGCAGGGGGAGGAGGGGGCAGCTCCCGTGTCAGCGAGGTCCAACGAAACGTGGGTTCCCTTAAGATGGACCGTCTCTTCTCAGGGAGGGGGACTGGGGTAGAAGGGGGAGTTGGGGCACGTGGTGGAGAGGGGGCTGGTGCTGGTTCCTGGGGGACAAGTGGGGAGGTGGCGATGGGAGGTCGCAGAATAGGTGAGACCTCCACCTTTGGGGGCTTGGGGGGGTCTTCATCCATAAATCGCCGGGGTGTCTTGATGACACGGGAGGAGCGGGCACTCACCACAGGCATAATAAACTGCCGGATATTCTTCAGGAAGGTGGTACTTTTGGGGGCCACGGTGGGACTGTCTTCTGGAGGGCCTCCTGTGGTGGTGCTGGGGGTTGGAGTGGGAGGAGAAGTGCCCTCTGGCCCTGCCCGAGCAGCTTCCCGCTCTGCCCGCTGGCTGGGAGTCAGGGGCGGTCGGCCTCTCTTCCTGGAGCACGTAGCTGGGACCACAGGAGGAGGGGATTCTTCCTGCTCCTCTGGGGCAGGAGGTGGTGGAGGGGATGGTAGGGGCGGGGGAGACACTGGGGGTGGTGGAGGGCAAAGTGGGGGTGGAGGAGATGTTGAGGGGGGTAGAAGGGGTGGAGTAGGTGAAGGGGCTGGAGAAGTTAGAGGTGGTGACGGCAGCTTTGCCTCTTCCTTTATCTCCTCCTCAGCTACAGCTCTCTCCTCCTTCTCTTCTCCCTCCTTCTTGTCTTCTTCTTTTTCTTCTTCTTCTTCTTTCTTCTCCTCTCCCTCCTCCTCCAGCTTCTCCTCTTGCTTCTTCCAGCAGGGGCCCCCTCCCTGTCCAGATACAACTCTTCTTTGGGGGGCATCCTGCCAACTTTCCCCGTGGCGACCTTGACCCTGACCTGATTCAAGTCCCAAAGACAATTGTTCCATCTTCACTTTTTTGGCTTTTAAAACAACCTTGTTCACAAGGGGAAGCCCGCCTCGGCCTCGGCCCCTGCCTCCACGACCTCCTCGGCCAGACTGTCCTCCACGTTTGGGGGTCCCAGGTCCTGGGCCAGGTCCCTCCTTGCACTTCCAGCTGCCAGTTCGGTGTTTTACTGGAACCACAGGAGGTGGGGGCTCAGGTTTGGGGATTGTCACAGCTGCTTCTGCCACCACTACGGCTTGTTGTTTCTTCCTGCAGGGGCCTGCTGGCCGTCCTGGGGGCCGTCCCCGAGACCGCCGAGGGGTGGAGGGCTCACATGCCCAGCTCCGGGGGGGTGGGGGTGCCTGGGCCCGCCGGAGAAGTTCAGTCAGTGCCTGCACCATTCGTTCTGTGCCCTCCTCACCCCGTTTCCGGGCAGGGGTCTTTGTGGGGGTAGGAGCCACATCTGGTAGGCGAGGAGGAGGAAGGGGGGTCGTCTTATGCTTGCGGCCCCGACCTCGGGGGGCTCGACCTAAAAGGAGAATAGGTGTGGGGAGATGGGTCAAGCTGGCTCTGCAGACTAAGGCACTCCAGGAGAGCAGGGACTAAGTCTTACTTGGCTGTTTCCCCCACTGCCCAGCCTAGCTTGGACTCTAAACACAGAACACACTCAGTAGCTGATGGAGACTAGTTGGATGGGGAAGAGCCGACACAAAGGGTAAGAATAATGTTCCCCTGTGAAGCTATAGAGGCAGAGTTCCCCCAACACTCACCTCGCTGGGATCGGAGCGCAGAGCGCAGGGAACTGGGGGCCACATCTTCATCTGAATGAAAACCCTGAAACTCCTAATTTAGGGGACCAGGGTGGAGGGGAGAAACAGCAGTCAGTGCCCAAGCCCTTGTTCCACCTGTGACTCAGATATCGAGGAACAGCCCCAGTTTCCCCCTCAATGTAACCCTACCTATTCGAAGAACTAAAAAGACTCAAAAGCCAGAGGGGTAGAAAAAAGGGTCTCTCCCTAGGGATGGAGGGACAAAGTATTTTGTACCCCAAACCCGGTGCCAGACTACACCAGCACAGCCATCAGTGGTTTGCTGACCCAGAAGAGAACATAACAGGATCTCTTCAGTGAAGGCAGTAGGCCCTACACTTAGATTCCTTCACAGTCCAACTCAGAAAAAAGTGGGACCTCCATTTACACCCTTTTGGCATAGTTTCTTCCTGAATGAAGATGGGAATAGGGACATCCAAGCGGGGTGTGTGTGTTTGGGGAGTGGAGGTGGGGAATCAAATGGCCTGTCATATCGGGATTCACTCTGAGCCTTCAGGTGGTTACTAACTGTCCTAAGTAACACAACCCACACCTTTCTGCCTTTTTTCTGAAAGGCTAAGGGATAAATCCTGGTCTGAGCTGAACTCAGACCTGCCAGAGTGCCCAGTCTCAGCTTTCACTCCATTCCTCTTCAGCCAGTGCCCAAAGAGGAAGCCCTCCACCACTCTACCTTAGATTAGAAGAGGAATTGGGGCACTGGTGAAACCAGGGAGGTTTCAGGCCCAGGAGAGCAGCCTCCAGGTAAGAGCCTAGACAGTTCTCGTCTCGGTCCACTAAAACCACGCTGCTGCTGTCAACCACCACCGGTCGGGCATGCAGTCCACATTGCCTCCTCACCCAAACCTCTCCTGCTCTAGCTTTGCCAAGTACAGAAAAGGATCAGCCCAGGACACTTCAGCAGGACCTGCCTCGGGCCCAAGTGCCCAGCTGCAGCCGGGACTTCTCTATCCGCTTTCAGAGGCCCTTTCCACTGAAAGCTCCATGCAACCTACCTCCTTCCTTGCCTATTTCTAGGGTCCCTATCTCACCGCAGGAGCTCTGAGGACCCCACCTGCCCACGCCACCCCTCGGGGTAACCCAGACCCCTGGAAGTCCCTGGCCTCCGCCCCGCCTGGCGTTGGGGACGCCTCCGACCGCCTCACCTCATCGTCGGATTCACCGTCACTGCTCTCTTCCTCCGGCACGCAGCCCCGGCTCGGGCCCCAGCCCCGGCCCCGGCCCCTGCCCCGGCCCCGCTGGACGCGCGGGCCGGCCCACAGGCGGCGGAGCCGGCGCAGGCCCCGGCGGAGCCCCAGCAAACGGAGCAGGGCCGTGTCCTCCCCGGGCTCGGCTCCGCCCGGCCCCGCCGCGCCGCTCCCGCGCCGCAGAGCTACCCGCACTCTTTCGGCCCCGCTGCCCCGTCCGCCGCGGCCCCCGCCCCCGCCGGAGCCCCGCGGCCGGCCCGGGAAGCGGCCCCGCGCGGAGCCAGGCCCGGGGCAACTGCCGCCGCCCGCCGCCGCCGCCATCTTGGCACCGTGAGAGG